TCTTTAGATCTACAGAAGAAATTGGGGGGACAGCCACACATTTTCTGGGGCTTAGCACTAAAGGGATGAATACCACTATAGAAAGGAATACTAATGCCTTAGCTCCCCAGCCCTTTCCTTGCTTGGCCCTTCCATCCATTTTCTTCCCCAGGCATCTGCACACTTCCTAGGTGTTATGGCTCTTGTCTAGATGTTCCTCCAAAGCCTCATGTGTTCATAGGTGAAGTTTTTTCAGAAGGCTGGATCTAGAGTGTGTGACACTGGGATGGATTCATGGTGCAGTGCTAAAATGCAGGGCATTAGGATTAAGGGTGTGAGTGCTACCTGCCCTAAGTAGCCTAGATAAGATAGAAAAGATAACAAGAGCTGTGGTCAACATTTGCTTGCTTTGCTACCTTCTGCCCACCATGAACTGTTTCTCCTCTGTGATGCTCCTCTGCCACCCCACCCTGTCCTAGAGCCAAGTAATTATGGATTGAAACCTCTACAAACTGTAAGCTAAATAAACCTTTCCTCCTTTAACTTTGGGTATCAGGTATTTTGTCTCAGCAACAAAAAGATAACTAAAACATTAGCTCATCCCTGGCATGGAACAGAATGAGACTTAGCTTGTGCATGTCCTGGTTTCTTCTAACCCCAAACTTTCTCTCCTTTGGCCCCATGTCATGGGTATTATCCCAACATCTTTGATCTTTATTTCTCAGTTTCCCTTCTGGGCTCTCAACCACCCACAAATATTAGCAGCCCTTAAAATTTTGAGCCTGCTGGGCTGCTCTATTTGGGTGTTCTGCAGCACCTGGAATCCAATGGAACAGAATTCATCATTGTTAGAAAAAAAAGGAAGAAAAGACAAAGGTCTGAGCTTAACAGGGCTGGCTGATTTCAGAACAAACCTGAGAGGGGATACTCTGGAGCTTAGATTAGACTGGTAACTCTCATACAGGCTATAAGGTCTTTTAGAGGGTCCTGGGCATAGCAAGACAAGGTCAAAATGGGACTTTTGAGGGGGAGAGTTTACCAGAAAGGAGTCGTGGTTCTCTGCCAGGGATGGGGCGTGAGAAAAGACAGGGAGTGGTAGTTGCCTGTCAGGAGCAGGGTTGAAGAATGATGGGGGTTATGGGGTGTAGCTGTGCTTGCTGGGCCTCATTAACCCACGATTTTTACACATCTTTAGCGGTGTCAAAGTACAGTGGGCTACAAGAGGCTTAAGTGGTCTCTGATTAGTCTAGGATGGCGGTGCTCAGACTCCTTCAGTCATCTCCATCTGCTCCTCACCTGTGGCTTGTCTCAGGTTACCCATTTTAGTGAGTTTTGCAACCCAGGAACCAGGAGCCACCCTCCCTTTCTGCTGCCCTCTGCATCCCATCCTCAGGAGCTAACTGCTCCTCTTGTTTGGCGGATTCTACCTCCTCAGTACTCTCCAAAACCATGGCTCGTTTCTCCCCTATGGCTACTGCTGGCCATCATCTCTCTCTTAGCCTGCTGCAGTAGTCTCCTGATGCCACCCTTGATCTCTTTCGCCCTACTTCTGATCTAGTCTTATAAGGAGTCACAGCCATTTCCTAACATGCACTCTAAAGTGACCATGTCATTTCCCTGTTTTAAAGCCTTCAATATTCCCACAACCCTTGGGAAAGTCCATTCCCCTCACACGGCTTATCATAGCTGCCATATTGTTCTAGTCCCTCTCTACCTGTTAGCCCCATTTCTTATGGAACTCTGTCTTTTCATCCTAAGTGTCAGCTCTGCTGCTGAACTTGCAGTTCCTCAGTAGACAATGCTCTTCCAAGAACTTGGCCTTTCTCCTTACTTTTGAGCCTACTGTGAATCATCTGTCCTGACCCTGCGCCTTCCCCCTGGGGAAAAAGAATCTAGTATCTGTTTTTTGGCTACTTATTGTCCTCAATATCACTTCCTTCACACTCGTGAAAGAATTTGGGGCCTTGATAATGGTACACAGATTAGATCGTAGACACCTTCAGGTCAGGATCCAAGTCATATTCTTCCCAGTCTTCCCAGCATCCATAGTAGGTGACCAGCACAGAGTAGGACCCCAGTGAATGTCTGCCAAATGAATGGATAGATGGGCACGAGGGTAGACAGCTGGGTGGAGAGACATGTGAGAAGTCTCTGGTCCAGCATGGATCTATAAATTCTCTATAATGATGGGCAGAGATAAGCCAGCCATATTCCCTCATCTTCCCTCTGCCTTACACCCAGACCCCACTCACGTTGGGTCAATGGGAAAAAGACTTCACAGCATGAGAGGATGTGACATCTGGATGTCGATAGGGGAGGAAAAAGAGGAGAAGATGCCAGAGAAGCCAACAGAAGTTGGAAGTGGGAAGGCAGGAGCCCTAATGCCCATTTATAACATTTGCTATTTCATCCCCAGGAGCCAGTGAGTACTAGCTCAGAGGCACTGAGTGGAGCACACAGAAAGGAGAAGGTGGGTATACTAAAAAGTGTCCTCAGCCATCTTCTTTTAAAATCCCCAACAAAGAATGTCTTGATGACAAGCTCTGACTTCATTGTCTCTGCAGATGTGGGTGCTGCTGGTGGGGTAGACCAGTCTGGGCAAGGTTAGAGATCTAAGGAGCCAGAGTATCTCTTCGAAGATAAAATTTAGGCATGTGCAATGTCCCACATATTGATCATGTTTACCAGCCTTTTTGTGATTTACACACAAGGCTCATGCCTGTTTGCATGGTGGGTAACCCCAGCACCTTTTTTGACTCAGCTCTGTCCCACAGTGCTCATTGTCTGCAAAGGGGCCACCTTAAATCACGCCTATAGGGCTGGCAGCAGGCAAGGAGGGCAATAGAACCAAAAGTTGTGAGGTTCTGGGAAAACAGCAGAAAGGGCAAGCCATGTTTGGTTCCCTTTGTCTCCTAGGTAACCTAGATATCTCCTAAGACACCTGTACTGACACAGTCTCTGGGTGGACGAGCAGAGTGACCATATATGCATGCGTCCTGGCCTGCCTGAGACAGTCTTGCTGCCTTAGGGTAGCTGTGCGCTATCACTACATTACTCACTACAAAAACCATTCCTTTCCGATGACACACTGTACAGTCACTCTCTTTACAAGGTGCTCTACAATCCTCTGGGAGAAATCCACTTGCGACTCCATTATTGCTTTCCTTTTCCTGGACCATCTCTAAGACCATTTCACAAAACAGGTTGTTTTCCCTCTCTGGGAACTCTATCAACAGACCCACAACTCCAGACAGGACAACCCCAGACCAAAGAAGATAATGCAGGCCTTTGCCCTCCTGTAAGGAAATATAGTGAAACAATCACAAAGAATTACAAGCAAGCACTCCGTAATTTCTGCGCTCAGGAGGCTGAGGCAGAAATGTAACAAGTTTGAGGCCAGGTAGGCAATGTAGTGAGACCCTGTCTTAAAACAACCACCACAGCCAATCCCCATAAACTATAAGGAAGAACTATGTCTCCCTGGTTCTTCCTTGGACCTCTTATTCCTGGGAACGGAATCTCTCTTGGAGATTCTTCAAGTTCTTTCAAATACAAATCCACTTGTTCCAAACAAAAGGCAGTGTTCCTTGCTTGGAGTAGGTGGGGTGGTGGGGTAGTGGGAGGGGGCGGTGATGGTTTCTTCCTGCAAAATCTGGCTCTGCTTCTCCATCTGGATCCTCTGTGTCTGAGGCCCCTGGGTAGCAGTTCTGGTTTTCAGCACTGGGTTTCTGGGCAGGGCTTTCCCCTGGCCCAGCAGCAGCTCTGCTGGGTGCCAGCTTTTGTGTCCCCTTACTTGGAAACCACAGGCTGCAGGAAAGGCTGGGAACTAGTGAGGGCATGTGGGAGGCATAGTCGTGGCTAACTGCTACAGACACAGCTTTCACTGGCCTGACCCTGTGTCTGTCTTATTGAAGGTTAAAACCCTGAGAAAAGTCCCCTTTCAAAACTGCTGCCTTGGGCCAGGAATACAGCTCAGTGGTATAAGTGCTTTCCTGGCAAGCACTAGGTCCTGAGTTTAATTCCTAGTACCACAAACAAACAAACAAACAAACAAACACACAAACAAAAAACTGCTGCCTTTGGGCAGCAAGAGCTGTTGGAGGAGGGAGTTCACGTTTGTAGCTCTCGGCTAGAAAAGCCAAGGGCAGGCGGGAGTGGAGTTGTGGAGGGACTCAGGCTCTATAAGGCCTGTTTTTCTCTGGAGACCACGGTACATCCCTTACCTTCACCCACCATACCAGCACTGTACAATGGAACTTTAAGAGTTAGACTTTTTTTCCCTTTGGAGACAAGTGGCTTCTCCAAATGTCTTCAGCCCTGGTGCGCAGCTGGCTACTCCCACCTCTCCGCTGAGGAGTGGACAGAATCTGCAGGTGCCAGGCACCAGGAGGGCAAGTCCAGTTTCACTCCCTCGGGCAAGGAAGGGAGAGGTCCGGGTCTGCTTGGGATGGGGTCAGGGTCGGAGAGGAACAAGCCTGAGGTGCCTATGATCTCATTGTATTCCCTCCCCCATAAAAAACCCCAACACACCTGTACCCGGGGAGATGATATTTTGAAGCAAATAGACCTTTCCCTCTCCTTTGAATAAATCCTTTTTCCTGTTTACCAAGATAAATGGCCTCCTTTGATTGCATCAGTGGACAGCAAACGAACTTCAGCTATAACCTAAATGACTGGTAAAACAGGGACACGCAAATTTTAGGCCTCTCCCTTCTCCCTTAGGGGCACAAGTTTATCGGGGGTCCGAAGTCTTAGATTACAACTCTACCTTTTGGTCTGGCCCCCAAGGAAGCCCTCGAGAGGCCCCTCGCATATGCAAGATGTTTCATCGCGGTGGTGGCCTTGCCCGGGCGCACAGTGGGACCGCGGCGCGCCTGCCTTCAGGCGTCTCTTGCCCCCCCCCCCACCCCGGCTGCCTCGGGCCAGCCCAGCCTGTGGGGGGGCAACGCCACGGGGCTTCGCGCCATGACATCAGCCCGGCCGGTCGTAGTGCAGTGTGCAAAGCCTACTGGTTGGTGTGGCTCGGGACACGCCTTCCGGGAGCGGAACAAAACGGCGCGCAGGCAGGGCGCACCCAGCCACCGCTTCCGACAGCGCCTGTCCCTCGCGCCTCCGCCCAGCAGCTGCCAGGTGAGTGCGCCCCGGGCCACGCGCCCCAGCCCGAGCGTACTTCGGCGAGGTCCCCAGTGGCCGCCCGCGGCTGGGACGCACCCAGCACCTCCCGGTCTTTTCTGCCCCGCCGCGATCCTTGCGGCTGCGAACAAAGTTGAGAGGAAAAGTGACGTGAGGCGGGAGGCCTTCGGGAGCAAAGAATTGAGAGAAGTGGCCGCAGTTAGCCCGGGCGGTGCTTCTCTTACCGGGAGGCACCGGGCCCCTCCCCACTCCGGGGCTTCCTGGACGCAATTGGCTTCCGCGTGCCCCTGACCCGGGGTGACCCGGCTCTCCCCACTGCCTGCAGATGGGGCAGGACAATCGGCAATTCTGCGGGCCACTGACGCTCATTGTACGGCAGGGGGATGAGGGCATCCGTGCCACCTCCTCCGTCACCCTCCTGCTCCAGGAGAAAGTGCCGCGGGTGGGGCAGGAGAAACATCTGGCTTTGTGGGCCTGGTGGGTCATCTGGTCCTGAGAGCAGGTGTGTTTTCCTTCTTCCGGAAGAACTAGCTAGAAGCTGCACGGTTTCACCTCCCCCACCCAGTGCTAAGTGGGGACCAATGAAACCTGAGAGAGTCTACAGTGTTTTGTGGCCTCAGTCCCTGAAAACTGGGAAGCAAGAAAGGAGCTGATATGGAACACATTTAAGTAGATTGCAGTATTTCTGGCACTTTGCAGAAGTTGCTATATACTGCCCAACAAGCAGCCCATGAGGGAGATATTTTATCTAGTGGCGCAGGCCTGAGTGTATTCTGTGCCCTTCGGATCCTTGGGTTGTTGTGATCTAATCAGGTTTGAGTCCAAATTGGGGCAATAATATGAGCTCAGGCCCTCCTTCAGGTGTTGGGCTGCAGCTCCCACCTCCTGCTCCCTGGGGATGAATGCTAAGAGGCCACTGCCTTGGGATACTGACACAGTGGCACCGAGGAAGCCTGCTGGGCTCTGATAAAAAGTTTATCATGAAGAGGTAGCCTACAATCTTGGTGACAGACTGTTTTGACTGTTGGATTTGCTATTAATACACATGTGACCGTGGACAGGTGATGACTTCTCAATGCCTCAATTTCTTTTGGCATGGTCCTCGGTGCATGTGTTATGCAGGGCCTCCAACAGCAGCACTCCGGTACAGCTATCTACTGTCTGACCACCCAGAAGCTAAGTGGACTGGTGCTGCCTCTCTGTCATCCCAAATGCAGCTGGCACTTGGGGACTGAGTGCTGAGCTTCTCCTGCTCTTGGTCAGCTGCTGCCTCCAGATCCCAGAGCCAGGACCACCTCTTTCAACAGAAACTGGCTTGAGCCCTCTGCTGCTTTTAGGTGCTTCTTATCCCATTAGCTCTGAATGCAGCCTGGTGCTGTTCAGTCTCCTCATGAAGGACCTTTTGCCTTAGTGAGGATTTATGGGGCGGGGACAGTCAGGCTGGGATGGAAGTTTAACCTACAGAGGCTGTGGGGGGGGGGGCAGAGGAGCAAGAGGGAGAACTGCCCCTGAGGCTTCCTGCCCAGTCTGGAGAGTCTGGAGAGAATGCAGGAAAGAATTGACGAGCAGGACCTGCTAAGAAAATGTGAAAAGTGAGGGTGCCTCAGCCTCTTTGCCTCTGGTCACCCTAGGACCCATCTTACTGGTCCAGGTAGTTTCTTTTTGTTATTGCACATGTCTGCCAGCCAGCCCTCACTGGGCTGGAGTAGCAGCCTGTGAAGGTAGTGTTAACTGTGGCTGGTGATCAGTAAACATTTGGTGAACAAATGGGGTAGAAATGGGCTCTCTGCCAGAGATGCCCGACTGGGCACTCATAAGGCTCGCAGCCACTTTTTCTCTATGGGTAGTGCTGACAAGCAGGGGAGGGGGGTGGGGAGCAGACTTCTTATTCATTGTGGATTTCCTGCTAGGGAAAACAAATTGAGAAGGCATTCTGGGGGTATGCTAAAGTCTGAAGTATCTTTGTAAGTCTGGCTCGTTATGAGAAGCTGGCTGGAGGACTTTGAAGAGGCTTGCATTGAACATTTTGAAATTTAATGAGAAAAAGACCTTTTTCCTCCAGTTTAGCCATGTGCCACTATACAAGCTTGTTGGCAAATGTGTAGTGACACAAACATGAACAAGTGCTAGAGGTGGCCTTTCCTTAAGAGATTAGTAAGCAGACATCTGTACTTGCTGTGCGAAAGAACTGTGCTATTTCACGTATATTCTCTTGGACAGTTTGCAGATAAGTGCTGATGCTTGTCATTTTATAGATGAAGAAGCTGAGGCCTCGAGGTGAAAAGGAACTTGCTCAGGAACTTAGCCCTGGTGGAGTTGCAATTCAAATGTAGTCTGTTTCCACAACCTATTATTTTTCTTTGCTCCTCTGCATTCTTTCCAGTTCAACTCATTAAAGAAATAGCTTTGTGAGGCACATTAGTTTTACAAGATGCATCACAATGGCTTATAAATGAGTTAAAGGCAGATATGGCCTTTGCCATTTTAGTGTGAATGGGGTCTGTGGGGCCTGGGTTAGCACTCAGGGGCTCTTAAGTCTCACTCTGCTGCATGGCTGTTGGGGTAGGGGACCCTACAAGTTAGTTTTCAAATGCTTTCGCCAACTCTGATGGATGTTTGTGTTTTGGGGCCAAGTTTGCAGGAAAGAAAAGAAGCCTGGAACCTAGCCAGGTTTCTTTTAGGGGTCGGGGGAGGCAGACATTAAAGCTGCTTGGGGAAGGAGCAAGGGGAGGTGGGTCCTGAGTTCTGACCAAGCCTTGTCTGCTGTTTCCAGATGTCAGGGATTTATATGGTAATGACGTGGCTTGTACTACGCAGCTTCCCAGGAATTTGTCTGACGCCAGTGTTGAGTAATTCCCATGTATGGTAAAGTGTGTAAATACGGAGGCAGCAAGTGTTTCCAGACTCTGGCATTTCCAGTGCTTCCAAAGACCAGAAGCAGTGTCTGACTCCTGTACGGTGACAAGGGTCACAGCTGGAGCGTCTGCTCAGGGGGAGTGGGGGTGGGGGGAGGGGCCTGGCATTCTTTACACAGGGGCGGTGTGGGCTGGAGCTTCCTGAGATGTCAACTGCAAGCAACCTGTATTTATAGATCCTAAGTGCTCATTTGTTTTTACTTTTAAAAAAATTAATCAAGAACTATCACCCAGACCTTTTTGTTCAGCACATAGGTTTATCCAACTGTTACCACTCTCTAAGTTGACGTCATCCCAGACAAGGGCAAGAAAAAGGCAATTTGTTAATTAGTCTGAGAAGCCTGACTGTAACATAGGATTTCCTGTACCAGTATTGTAGTACTTAAAGAAAGTTATAGAGCTGGAGGGGTATAGCTCAGTAGTAGAGCACATGCCTAGTATGTGCCAGGCCTTGGGTTTGATCCATAGCATTGCAAAAAACAAAACAACAAACAAACAAAAAAGCAAATAAAAAACAAACAAACAAAATGTAAACCCCCCTTTCCACCTCAACATGACCTTCAGATTTCAGAACTCTAAGAGTGGAGAACTGTGCTGTAAAAGGCATTAGAAATATAACATTCATTGCCCCTGGCAGCTCACAGTCCTACAGGGGCCACGGTGGCACATGGATTTGAAAAGAGAGAGAGGTCCTACTTGGAGAGAGGAAGACAGTGCTGGGCTGATGTTACAGTCAGGTTCTGGGGTACTTGGGGCCTAGAGTAGAATAATCCTAGCTCGGGGGTACTGGTTGACTTTTCAGAGAGATGAGTTATGTGCAGAGCTGCAGAGAAAGCGTATGTTGGGACCTATGAAGCCGAGGCTGAGCCTTGCCCTGTTTCCTTGTTGGCCACCGCACGTACACACACTAGGGACCATTACCTGCAGGGAGAGTCTATTTCCTGGGATCTCAGGCATCACCTCAAAAGATACCCATTCTATGGGCTGTAACTCAGCAGCCTCCTCTTTCCTGTTGTGTCATTGGCAGTTCTGTGGATGTGGGGGTGTGGGGGAGGAGGCTTCGCTGTGAGGTTGGAAAGGATGACAGCACTCCTGCATACCTGGCAGATAGCGAGCAGCTCAGGTAACTGGGCAGCACATTTCTAAGCAGATAAACACTTGACAGGTCTCTGCTGGACCAAGAGGGTGGAGACTTAAGCCCTGGGCTCATCAGTTATTCTTTGGCTCTAGGGAACAAGTAATTATGGAATGAGAGATGGGATTTTTCCACTGGTAAAATAAAGATGTGGAATGGTTTGTCAAGGGCTTCAGAGGGAGCCTTCCTTCTGTCATTGGTGGCTGGCAGTTAAAGATTATATGTCCCTGAGATGATTCCTTACCTTGACTTGAGGATGACTGACCTCTGCCAACTTTCAGGGGATTCGGGCTAAGAGTGAGAGTTTGATCCTTGTATTCACTCCCTACTCTGCTGCTGTGAGGGCTGCCATCTTGGATCTCTCCTCCCAAGATTGGTATGGATTCAGTTCTCAGTGAGACAACTAGACCAGGAAGCCGACCTTGCCGGTTGCTTATTCAAGAGGCCAGTCATTGGTGTCTAATCTCCATCCAGCTCTGAAGACCCTGACATTTCAGGTAAACAACTAACTGGATAGTTCCAGTCATGCAGCAGAACATTCAGATTGTACTCCATGGAGATTATCAACACAGTGAAGTAGGACAAACCAGAACACAGCAGTTCCCAGGGGGACTGTAACTCTCAGAAGGAAACCCACTGTAGATAAGTGATTACAGAAGATAGTAATGACTTTAGATTGCCCAGAGCCATATGAAGAGTGCCTGATATAGGACTCAGGTCCGTACTTGTGGTGTCAGGTAGCCAGGGGGAAGTAAGTGCCGAAGAAGGACAAGCAGCTTATTCTAGACTCATCGGCTGGACTGCCTGCTCATGAGCCTTGTTCTTTCCAGATGTGGAGTAACAGGAAGGAGGGTAACCACTTGGCCCTACATCGGGCAGGTTAGTGTTACAACCACTTGGCTGTACCAGTTGTGCGCCTGGCAGTCAGAGGCGTGTCCTCTGCAGCATGCCAGGCTCTGTGCCATTGCTACCATACGTTCTCATTCAGCCTTTGGGCCTGATTTTGGGATTCAGTGCTCCATCGTAGAGGTAAGAAATTATGCTAGCACAGAAAGGAAGTCCTTTGCCTGAGATCACTCTGCCAGGAAGGGGTGCATCTCATCTGTGTGCCCTCTGCTCCCACTTCCTAACCACTAAACTGCACAGCCTGCACACCTAGGGAACTGTTTTGGCCACAGCTTCCCCCAGATCTTCTGTCCCTCGGAACTTCAGAAGCAGTTGAGAGGGAGCCAAGCGTCCTTGTAGACTCTTCGCACACTGAGAAACAGCTTTCCTTTTAAAGTAGCTTAGCGTCTGCACAGGAAGAATCTGGCTGTTGGGGAACAGGGGCTAGGCAGAAGAGAAGCGGAAGGGACTCTTCTCCATGTGTGGGCACCCTGGAGGGGCCCTCATCTGGCAGAGGAAGCATGGAGCCCATCTTCAGGGGCTGCGAACTCCTTGCTGCTATAGACAGTGTCTCTGCTTCTCATCTTGAGGCCTAGAGGCCTCGCCTGCTGCCTCGCTCCCAAGGGAGACAACCTGACATCAGGCCCACAGGAACAGCGACCCAGCCAGGAAGCATCCTGAGCAGATTTGCCCACTGACAGTTCCTTGGGCTTCACCCATCTCTCCGCCCATGTTCCTGATTCCCTGAGGGCCCTGCTGGATGTGGGCCCCTGACATGGGGCCAGAGAGAACAAGGGGAGGCTTGTACGGAGCTGTGGGTCTCCCCCAGAGGGAGAAGGGCTTTTGTTTCTGGGAACAAAACACTGCTTGGAACTAGCTCCCCACCACGTGGTTGGGGAACTTTCCTCTCTTAGGGGTGTCCCTAGGGGCATGAGTATGCCCCTGCTTGTTCAGGGTGATGGAAAGAGAGGCCAGGAAGAGAAGCAACATCATGTGTGCCTGCCATGTGCATCCATGTGCAACCATTTTTTTTGGTACTGGGAGTCAAACTCATGACCTCTCGCTTGCCAGGCAGGCACTGCACTGCTGAGCTATATCGTCAAACCTGTGCCCCCATTTTTAAAAGAACATAGCCCACAGACGGTGACTGGGATTCAGGATACCTGCATCAGAATCTAGTTCTAGCTCTTCCAGCTGTGTGACTACAAGCAAGTTACCTAACCTCTCTGAGCCTTGTTTTCCTTATCTGTAAAGCAGGCATATGTTCACCATCTTCAGGGAATGAGAGTGAAATGAAGTGATATAGATATGTTGATGCATATTAAGCAATTGTTGGCAGTCTGAGCATCTTGGCTATAGTCATTCTGTCAAGGCTTCTCGTAGGGGAAAGAAAACCTGTGTGACTAAATGCACTTTCTCACAGTTCCTAAGCAAAGCTGCCTTCATATTTCAGTGGCCAGAAATGGTCTTGCCCATTCCTGAATCAGCCACTAGCAGGGATATGGTCACTGTGGTTGGCTTAGGTGACTCAGGTTCTGTTCCTAGATCTAGGGATGTGTCACCGAGGCACTTGGGAGAGAGTGGCTATTGAGTAGAGTGGAGGTTACTGCAGGAGGGTAGCAGGGAGTGACAGCTGACGGCCAGACAGCAAAAACGCACATTGCTGCTCCTGTTGAATTGCTTCCATATCACTTGTGGTTTTGCAGTCCCATGGCCCTGCTGAACATGGACAGTTAGCCCCGGGAGTTCTTGGGACATCAGAGGCTGGGAATGCAGACTGACCCCAAATCTGGGGAGGCAGAGAGAGATGTCTCCTATGGTTAGAGAAATCCTGCCTGCGGGTGATGCATGGGAGCTGAAGTCATTCCGCCCAGGATCTGGGAGGGGGAAAACAGGACTCCTGCAGCAGACAGTGGTCCCTCCTGTGGGACAGGGCAGTAGAACTCAACCTCAGTTTGGCCCCCCGCTGCCCTGTGGAGGGTGTGACCTCAGTCTTCCTATTTGCCTGACCCTGAGCTGGGTAGTCGGGAGCGGGACACCGGTGTTAAGTCACCAGCCCAGGAGCCCAGGTGGAGAAACAGCAGACACCCACAAAGCAAGCAGGAACCTGGGGGCGGTGGGGTTATCTGCAGGCAGTGGGGTCCCTGGTGGGTTCTGAGCTCCTTGAGGAAGATCTGGCAGTTATGCAAGGACAGACTATAGGAGAATCTTCCAGAGAGGCCTGGCTGCAGGGTTGTCCCTCTGCATGTGTCTCATGCGGCTGTAAGGTAACAGCCCTAAACAGTAGAGGGAATTTGTTGCTTTGTCTAAGTAGAGGTCAGAGATAGATCAAATTTAGGTTTAAGCTTATTAAGCTCATGTCATCTAAGACTCAGTGCTCCTTGTCCCTCACTGATCAGCTTCATGCCAGGATTGCCTGTCTCTCCCCGCCATGGCAATAACCCCAGAGCACTTTATGAGCCGCTCCTTGCTTGGGGGCGGGGCACTTGCTCCAGGAAGCTCTCCCGGAAGACAGAATGCTTTTGCTTCCATTCCAGCATTCTTGGAAGCCCCTTCTATCCCGCTGGCCTTGTACACCCCGGAGCCCATAACCTTGATTAACTGGATTAGGCCCAGGCCAGTACCATGGCTAAAAGGGGACTAGTGCCCAAAAGAAAGGAGAATGGCAGAATCCTTGGCAAGAGGCTGTCATAACCACCTGGGCAAAGGCAGGAGGCCATCAAGCTGGGAGAGGGCAATGGGAGAGGAATGGGGAGGGCAGGCACCAGAAAGTCGGTAAACCTAAGGGCCTGGCTTGGTGCAGAGCTTTGGGGTAGTGGGTAAAGGGGAGCAGAGTGAGATGCAGTGAGGGGTAAGCAGCTCTTCTTGGTAGTAGGCCTGAGGTGAGATGCCTTAGTGAGGGAGATGATGGTCATATGCAGAAATGCAGACGTCAAGAGAAAGAACAAGGTAGAGAAAGGAAGCGAGTTTGGAGGGCTCCTGTGTGAATCAAGGCATCTGAGACTGCACATGTGAGTCTGGGCTTGGAGGAGAGGCCAAGGCCACTGACACATAGGTCCTCATGTGAGTGACAGCAGGGGACTGGGGAGAGGGTAGGACCAGAGGAAACTTCTGCTTTCTAAAAATTGAAGTGGGAAGGTATCTCTCTTCTGCTCCAATGAAATCTTGCTGGACTCCCATCACTTTGGTAATGCCCCCAGCAACAGCAGCAAGCTGGCATCACTAATGCCACACCCTGCCTTACACCTGCTCTCAGCCTGCACACGTTCACCAGTCACCTCTCATAGGTCCCAAACTGCAGAGACACACCTGGCTCCCAGTAGCAGGACCTCCTTCGCTCACTTCTCAGCTATCTTCTAAACACCAGGTGCTCAACAGGTCACGGGGTCTTGATGTGAGGACAACCCGGCCTCTTCCCAAGTGCAGCCCAGGTCAGATGGGAAGCTCTCCAGTGTAGAGTCCATACATCTTTGACACTGACTCCACAGCTGCCAGCTCACGTCGTGTTACCAGGAGGGTGGGCCCTGGATGCCACCTCTTGGTTTTCAACATTTCCTTTACACACATCTCAGGAGCATTCTCCTTAGGCCTCTTTGCCTCCTGAGGCAACAAGCCCCTTTCCTAGCTCCCTGCATGCCCCACTCACCAAGTCCTGGGGTGCCGCAGCACCGACCTCCTGCCCTCTGTGGTTGGCTGTGCCTCATGCAGCAGCACCCTTTCCTTCTTGAGTTTCGGCGGAAAGAGGTGGAAGGGTTGTTTTCCTGTTCAGTCATAAGCCTGTCAGTGATTGAAGAGGAAGGAGAGCAGTGGATCCCATCAGTTTATAGACTTTCTGTTTTCTTTCCTGCGGCTCTTATATTCTGTGCTGCTTTTTGACAAATCAGGCTCTGACCTGTGGTATCATCTGTCTTGTAGTCATTGACTTGTGTGTTAATTGCTAAACATTCACTATATTTCAGGCTTCTGACATATCATACCTCGCTTAATCCCCAGAAGTACTCTATGGAGTAGTTTCTATTTTCATCTCCATTTTGCAGATACAGAAATCAAAGTTTGGAGGGCTGGATACCTGCCCCAGCCAGCATCACACAGCCAGTGAGTGGTAAAATCAAGATGGGACCAAACTTTCTGGTATCAGGTCCCCAGTTCATAGAGAATCACAAAGTTGGTTGAGGCCACCTGCTTTGGATTTACCTGGGATGCTTTATTAAAAATTCAGATTCCTGTTCCTCATTCTCAGAGGTTATGATTCATCAGATCTGGGGTGGCATTACAAAATCTGGTTTTGCAAAGCTCTTCAACCTGCCCTAAAGTACCCTAAAGTCTGAAAGTGGTGCCCCATCTACTGTGTTTTTTGAAAAAGCGGTATCTTACATATAAAAGAATGTATATGACCTTTATATAGAGTTCAAAGAGTTATTATGAAGGAAATCTGCATGTGACAACCACCCAAGTTAAGAAAAAGAACTTGGCTAGCACCTCAGCAGACTCCGTGGTGACCCCACCCCACCATGTTCCTTCCCCCATCTTAGAGGGAGGATCATTTCCTTGCTTTTCTATAATATCTTTGCCACCCACATGCTCCCCTCTCAACAACAGGAGTTTTGCCGGTGTGTGAACATGACACAGATGGATTTGTGTCTCAGGAACTCTGGTTGATCAGCCTGTCTTGTGGCCATTCTCTGTTTGAGGTGCCCCACACTGATGTAGGTATCAACAGCTGGCACAGTGACATCACTCTGCAGCATCCTCTACAAAGCCTGGGTCACATGCTCAGTCATGCTTTTTAGAGCACAGCCGCTCAGTAACTAGATTAGACTAGGGGATGGACCCCCAAGCAGCAGGTGGAGGATGCTGAGAACGACTAGGACTGGTGGTCTGCATAGACATCCTGTCTTGCCCCTATACCCCTGTCTCTGCCTCTTCTCTCATGGGCAGTCTGTGTTTCTGTGAATTTAATTCCCATTTCCTTGTCCCTTTTCAGAATGCCGAACTGGGGAGGAGGCAAGAAATGTGGGGTGTGCCAGAAGACGGTTTACTTTGCTGAAGAGGTCCAGTGCGAGGGCAACAGCTTCCATAAATCCTGCTTCCTGTGCAGTGAGTACCGCCCGGGCCTGCTGTTACTCCCGGGAGGACAGGGACCCAGCCTGTTGCTGCCCCCACATGCTGGGCCTGTTGACACCCCAGGGGACTGGTCCCGAGGGATGTAAATAGCTTGACATTTGGCTGAGGCACAAGCTGGAGAGGGAGACACTTAAGGGCCTCTTTGTTCCCTTCAGAAGCTGCTTTCTGAGGGGTGAACTTGTCGAGCTGGTGGGGGTGGCGGGTGTGCAGGGGCTGAGAGCCAAGCTGGAAAGATTTGTTTCGGAAAACTTTCCACTGGGCTTCTCCACTACGCCACCCCCTCCCCGAGCTACGATCCTGTGATTTCAGAGGAAGGCACTTTTGGCCCAAAGTTTCACAAGCTTTAGATCAAAATTATCCCTGGCTTTTAGAGGCCACAGCCTTACAGGGCAGGTCGGAAGGCCCCATCCAGGCCAGTGGCTGTCTCTCACTCTGCACCACTCTCAGCTTCAAGGAGAAGGGGATGGTGCACAGAGTTCACTGCTTTCTACTCTTAAAGAGAAAGAGAGCTGTTGCAGTCACAAGCATAGGATGCTGAGCAGCTGAGAGAGGTCGGGTGGACCCTGGGACCCTGGCTGTGGTGCTGCACTGGCTAGTACCCTGGCCAGGAGGTGGCAGCTGGAGAAGCCTGTCCGCAGATTCCTAAGGGATTGTTCATTGTGAGCAGAGCAGCAGGCTGCCTTAAAAGGGAGACAACTTAGGCAAGATGTGTTTCCTTGAGGGTAGGCTAGGTGAAGGCAGTGGGATGTCTGGGTCTCCCCAAGATGCACATGTATGCATGGATGTTTGCACGTGCACACACGCACATACATGCTCATTGCTAAGGGGTTTACAGCAAGATGCTGTGTTAAAAAGGAGCTCTCAGAGGTTCAAGTTCCAGCCATCTGGGAGATCTAGGAAACAGCACCTGTCCTGCATCCCATGAGGTCGGTCAGGAGATCTGAGGTTCCTTTGTTCCCAGGTGGTTTGAGCTCCAGAAGAGGACCCACATAGGCTAAAGGCCACCTGTTCACCAGATGTTCCCCAGCTCTCTACCTCCTGCGGGGCAGGCCAGTCTGAAGCCACCCAGCACAGGGCAGCAGGGTCTGTACACCACCCCGGGCTTGGAGTGACAGCCCCAGGGCTCCTCTGATGAATGGGGAGCTGTCGATAAGTTTCCGTGGAACTTGCTGGCTTCCAGCCTGAAAAGACGGCCGCGCACAGCAGCGTCTTGTTATCTGCAGCTCATCACTTAAGTTTAAAGCCCTTTCTTTTTTGAGAGGGCGTAAGAGAAGGGGTTGGTGCTGGCTGGGAAGAGGGTCCAGACTGCTGGGGTCAGAAGGACCCCTCTCTTTGCTCTCAAATGTTGCTTAACCATAGTCTAAAAGGGGCCAGCTGTGGCCTAGTGCCTGCCTGCACGCCTGCTATCCAGGAGTAGTTGTTGGTCAGCCGTGGAGGGAAGTCAAGAATTCAGGGAGCAGTATAGGAAAGAGCAGGGCCCGGGGTGCAGGGTGAGATGGTGACAGGGATTAGAAACAGTTGCAGAGTCAGGCGGGGGAACAGTGTGGGAGTGGTTATATAACCGCCATCCCTAGGGAACAGCATGAATCTCTGGGGTCTTAGAGCCTGGTCAGTTCCTGGGTATCAAACCTCCAAGCAGGCCTGGTGGTACCGCCTGTGTCAGCAGACCGGGGCGTCACCCCACACACTCATTCCTAGTGCCTGGAGCAATGCCAGCACGTGGTGGCTTCTCCACAAAGACTTGTTGAGGCATGGAAGGAACGTTGTTTCTCTTTTTCAGTCAAGTGAGTCATGTGTCCAGCTTGACTTTAGGGTAACCCAGAGAAATCAAGGACTTTCTCTCTGAGGGTCCAGGCCTGAGTGGACCCTCCTTGCTAGCCTGGCCTGTGTAGATCCTTAAAAGAGATTCTTCTGATCATATCTGAGTTCAGCTAAGTGTGGCACCCACATTCCCTTCCCAAGGTCTGGGAGGGGCAAGAGGAAGATAGGCATAACGTAAGAGGTAATGTCAGGCAACAATCCCTTCCCCTGGGTTTACCTTTGGCCTGGAACCGGGACCCAGAGGCCCTGCAGCACATGCTGTGGTCTCAGTAGGGCAGCCAGTTCTGGTCAGCAGATACTTCAGAGCCTCAAAAGAGAGGCCATCCGAGGTAGGAGGCGCCCTGGGCTGTGTCTGGCTCTAGGCCACCGTGAGGGTGGGCACAGCCTAAGGAAAAGTAGGGCCAGTCTGTCCTAGCCCTGTGGTGGTGACTAGTGGGACCAAAGACTGCATGCTGACCTCAGGCTGTTTGCCAGAGTCAGGAGCACAGAGGAAGCCTCGGCAGCCTTGCATACTCTTTGATCCTCAAGCTGAGGGTTGAGGTCAGTTTTTACCCTTTTGCCCTGGGCCTCACATACATGCTTTACCTACTCTAGAGGACCCATGGCCTGCAAAAAACCAATTCTGGACCAGAGGAACCGGGGTCTGGCCTGGCCTGCTTCTGGCTGACTCTGTGAGCTTAAGCTTTTTTGTGGGCCTGGGTTTTCCTGCCAGAAGCAGAGAGAATCACTGCTCTTTGAGCGGGTGAAGGGGCTGCCTCTTCTCGGTATTTGAAGTATATTTTCCCACAACACAGCCCCTCAGTTCTTTTTTTCTTAACATAATTTGATAGAAATGTATTCAGGTCTTCCTCGAATAAGGGACTTATTTGAAAGTCCCCTTGGCTGAATCACAAGTGAGCTGAAGTCCCCACTACATCACCTGGATGGAGGTGGAGGGACAGTGGGGGTTGGAAGGAGGGCCACAGTGGGCAGGGCTGTGCTTGGAGACAGCCAGGGCCGAAGAGAAAGGACTGGGCAGGCTGTGAACAGCAGAGCGCCATTTGGAGGGTGTCAATTTATGGGCTCTGATGTCTCCTCTGGGCTGTTTCTGAGCCTCTTGTTGGAGAATGAGTCAAAAGAGGCCTTGTTCTCCCAACCACTCTTGTCTTTGCTTTCCACCTTCCCTTTGGTCTTGGAAATCCCAGTTCATTTTAGGTGTTTTGGGAAAAAATTGCAGGCGAATTCCTGACTTCCTGCCCTAGAAGGCAATGTTGGAGCCCCTAGAAGGGACTGTTGGAGCTGATGGCTTCTTGTTCCCTCAACCTCCTTCTCAGGAGCCAAACCCCAGGGGAGGTGGTGGAAGGTTCCTTATTTGGGTGACCTGGCGTGCTGGAATGGGGTGGAGATCTCAAGGGCAGGACAAAAGGGTCCTTATTTAGTCTGAAGTCTCCAACCTGGGGCTCATGGGAAGAACAGCTGGCCAAGGACCCTTTAAAGGCAAGAGAATGCCAGGCTGCAAGGAGCTAGCCTAGATCCTTCTCTGAGAGAGGTAAGAAGCATGGATTTTTCAATGGTGTCCCTGAACTTCTAGTTTCAGAAGGAGATGTTTGAGGACACAGCCCAGTTGGGCACATCGAACTCCAGCACTTAAGGAATATCATAGAACCTTAAGAAATATCGTAGAGCCTCCCACAGAATGGGGAGTATAGGGAGAGAGCAAAACAAATGGAGTGAAGTTGAGCCTCAGTAGAGTAGTTGGCGTATGATCCCTGAGGCCTGGCCTGGCCTGGCCTGCCCTCCCCCTTCCTGTGGGAACAACATTATGTAATACTAATAAAAGTAGCAAACACATATTATGCACCTGTTATGTGCAGGGCACTGCACTAAGTGTGTCATGTGTAAGCTCTTATTTGATTCTCAACCACCTTGCTGGGCAGATGTTATTAATTGCATTTACAAATGAGGACACAGAGGCTGGAAAGGCAAACTAACTAGCCCAAGGCCACACTTGGGGAAATGGGGAGAGCTGGAATGTGATTCTGGACTCTTACCCTTCCTGTGCATGACATCTGGCACAGCTCCCCTGAGACCAACAGGAAGATGTCTGAGGCCCACAGATTTTTGTTGCTCATCCGCCTATCCCATCTCTCTTACCCCAGGAATCAGGAAATTCTTCCCCATGTCCAACCTCATTCCTCTTGATGGCCAAGTGATTTCTAAAGTTAGATATTCCAAGTCCTTCTGGATGTGGTGGTATATACCTATAATCACAGCGAGTAAGGAGGCTAAGGAAGGAGGATCATAAATCTGAGGCCAGCCTAGAAACTTTAGTGAAATCCTGTCTCAAAATTGGAAAAAATAAAATAAAGAGCTGGGGACATAGCTCAGGGCTTCCTGGGTGGTTCCCAGTATCATGTACCGCGGAGGAGGAAAAGGAGGGGAAGACAATAGCGGGACAGCAGAGGAAGAGGGTGCAGGAGGAAGAAACTTGAAATCTGGTCGTGAGTAGATTGACCTGCCCCTCACTACAAAGCCCACCAAGCTGGGAACTTAACACATGCTAAACTTCTTTGCAGGGCACATGACTCCACGCCCCCTCCTGATTCCCACTGGCACGCGCAGAACACAGATCGCCTCCTGTCAATTCCATTGTTGAAGGCAGGAAAGCCCTGCCCTTTTTCTTTCCTTTCTGTTTTTTCCCCTCCTATTGGAACATATGGTCTCTTTATCAAGGGCGGAGGGCAGAGGTTCATTTGGCATCCTGTAGCTTGGAGCCTGGGCCATTGCCTCTGAATTCTGGGATGTACCACCACCTGGGGAGGTACAGATGGTACAGAGACACCCACAGATTCCTGGAAGTAGGGATGGCCACCTAGAATCCGGGATGCAGATCCCACCCCTCTGTCCTCCAGGTCTTTGTCTACCCAAGTGGATACCATTTGTACATCTCTTTTGCAAGGTCAGGATAGTGTGTATGTAAAGTGCTGGGAGAACTCCAGCTTCTGGGCACCAAGGGAGCAAGCTACTCATCCCAGCTGCATCTCACCATTCTAATGTTCCCTCCACAGTGGTCTGCAAGAAGAATCTGGACAGCACCACTGTGGCTGTGCATGGAGAGGAGATCTATTGCAAGTCCTGCTATGGCAAGAAGTATGGGCCAAAAGGCTATGGCTATGGGCAGGGTGCAGGCACACTGAGCACTGACAAGGGGGAGTCCCTGGGCATCAAGCATGAGGAGTGAGTACAAGATCGTCTACTACTTTTTCTTGGTTTTTCTTCCTTAAATCCCCACCTCCCATATTGGATACATTCTCAAGTGCTTATGGCTAAGCAGTGGAAGGCTCAGAAAGCCTGGCCAGCTCCTGGGCTCTTGGGGGATGGATGGAATTGATGGACTATTTACCTAGTTTCAGCCAAGGTCATTGCCCCATTGGGAATGTTTGGTCAGCACATTTCTCCCAGAAAGCATCTGATAACAGACCAGCTGCAGAAATGAGGGGGCAGGGAGGGCGATTTTTACCAAATGAGGTGTTAAGTGAGTCCAGAAGCGTGCTGCTTCAATGAAGCTAATATCGTGCTGAGCCTTGGTCTGTCTACCGGTAATGTGGGAGATGACCCAGGAGTCCCTGGTAGCCTAACTTTTGTGACTCTGGCTGGGAAAGCTGCCTCCAGCCCTGGTATGGTGGAGGTGGGGTGGTGCCTTTGTGGGCCAGCCCGCTGTGTTGTGAGTGTGAGTGACCTTGCCTCACACCCTTCCCAATGCAGAGCCCCTGGCCACAGGCCCACCACTAACCCCAATGCATCCAAGTTTGCCCAGAAGATTGGAGGCTCTGAGCGCTGTCCTCGATGTAGCCAGGCAGTCTACGCTGCGGAGAAGGTGATTGGGGCTGGGAAGGTAAGGTGCTGCTGGGCACAAGGGGAGAGGGGAGGGCCACATCTTCCTGACCTGTGGACTCTGGAACTCTCTGGTCAGGGCAGCCCAAGCATTAGGCTTTACCTCCATCCTACCTGGAAAAGGTGTAACTCTTTGTTCCTGAGGGTTACTTATCCATGTTTACAAGAAGCTCATATTACCCATGAATACTAACACCCGCAACATTGATGGATTGTCTATGGACAATTCACAGGGAGTTGCAAAGATCCATCTGTACTTTAGAGTTGAGCATCATAGAGCCTAAGGGTATATTGAAACCATTATGGAGGGTCCACAAAGCCCCTAAAATAACTTGCAAAGTTTTACAGGAAAGTGTCTCTTTCAGGAGAAGATACATGGCTCCCTTCAGATTTTTACATCCCCCCAAAATGTTAAGAACCATCCAAAAATGTATTTTCTGTTTCATAGGATGGGTTCTCCCAGAAATACATCCATAAAATCCCAGGGCAGAGATTGTCAAGGTTCAGGCCTATTAGAGTTTCCAGGGAGACCTTTTGCACTGTTTATAATAGCCACACCTGCCTTTCCTGTATGATATTCTGATAGCAGCCTCCAATCACCAATGCACATTAAGAATCACCATAGCAACCCCACTGTTGCAAACAGCACCTATCACATCCTTCATGTAGGCTGCAGTGCAGCAGGCACAGAACCCTTGTCCTCAGGGTTGGTAGTCTCAGACCTGCAGTCTGAACATCACAGGGGAGGTATCTTTAAACTGTGTGGAAAAAGAAAAAAGAAGAAACTGTGACCAGAGAGGGCTTGTGGACCATCACACCAGGCCTGAAATAGAGGAGTGACTTGGCCAAGATCACTCAGCAAGCCAACAGCCCAGATGTGCTTAGAATCCATCTCTAGCTCCTCTGGAATTGAGTCTTGTCTTTCAAATTTTTTTTTTACCTTGAAGAAGGAGATCAGGAAGAACACAACAGGGAATTAGCACATAAGCCAAGACTAGACGTAGCTCTCAACCCTCACAATCACAGTTGGAGATGGGAATTATTATCCCTGTCTTACAGGCTCAGCAGGATTGAATAATTTGCCAGATCATCTGTCTAAGAAGCAGCTAGGTCAGTTCTCCAGACTGCAGAGCTGGGTAGTGGTCTCTGCCTGACAGAGGGGGAAGTAAAGGCTGGGTGACTGTTGAGACCACACAGAGGACAAAGGGAGGACTGAGGTTCAGGCTCCCCTTCTCGGCTTCCTTTCTCACCCTCTAGCCTAGGTAGCTCCAGCACAGTGGGGAGCTGTGCTGAGGAGATCTCACTGCCCTTAAAAGGCATTGTTTTGTCCTGTCTGGCTGCTGCCTGCCTCCTGCTTTTCCTGGGTTAGTAGAGCTGTCTACACATCGGCCTCGCAGCCTGCTCAGCAGCTGCTGACAAAAGCCAGCTGCTGAGAAGCTGCACTGTATGTGGGGTCTCAGCACTGAGCAAACCTGGGCTCTGCCTCTTCCCTAGGAGGTTTCCCTGTGTGGCCTTGGGACACCTCTTAGGTGTCAAAGGCCTTCTGGGGCCCCTGAGGAAACTGCATTCCTTGACCTATTCTTGCCAAGTTCAATGCGATGCACAGGCCCATTCCCCTTCCAAAGTAATACTGGACAACAGTTTGGGGACTCTTCTGTGCCTGGCCCTGTGGATGAAATGACACTGGTGAAACCATTTAATACTGACAGCTGCCTAGGGGGGAAGATATGGCCCCCACTCTCCAATGAGGCCCCCAGTTCTAGAGCTTCAGAGGCCAGGCTGGTGCAGGAGAACTCCTGGTTTTGTGGGCAGGGACCTCATGTTTAAGTAGTGAGTCCTCACATCCATTCTGCTCAGTGGACAAAGAGGTATCCTAAAGGAGGACATCAGGGAGGCTGCTCCCCCAGTGTGCTGGCAATGCCAGGACAAGTACAGAGTCCTTGCTGACACCACTAATCTGCAGGTAGAATGGGCTTGTGTGATCTCATCTATGGGGGAGCATCTGCCTTTGTGGTATAGCTGGTGCCATTAACCACTGTGACACTTCGTTGCAATGTAGGTGCTGTGAGGCATCCTAGGCTTGGTCTCCAGCCTGCTCCCCCACTGCCCATCACCCTGGCCATGTCCTTCCAGCAGCCCTAGCCCAGCAGACTTCAGAAGTGCCCTTCTGCCGCGGATCTGTGAAGGGGAGTGGGCTGGAATGTGGGGTGTTGTAGCTGTCGCTGGTGGGTGGCAGCTTTAACTGTTTCCTTCTTTACCTAGTCTTGGCATAAATCCTGCTTCCGATGCGCCAAGTGTGGCAAAGGCCTCGAGTCAACCACTCTGGCAGACAAGGATGGCGAGATTTACTGCAAAGGTGGGTAGTTTCACTTCTAGTTGAAGATCAGGAAGCGTGAGACAGCAGGGGAACTGAGCAGTTAGCCGTTTCTTAAGCACGAACCAGTTTCTGGCTTGGAATTCAGAAGCCAGAGCATCTAGCCTGACTCCTTCATGTCACAGGTGGGAAAATGAGCCCCAGAGGCGGAAGCAACTTGGCCAGAGTCAAATGACAAATTGGGGGATGTGGCCTACAGCCTGGGCTCCTGACTCCCAGGCCAGTGTTCTCCAGCAGATAATGCTCCTTCCTTCGACTCACTGCAGGGGCAACGGGTATAGGATGGAGTCAAGAGCCTGCTCACTGCTGAGACTGGGGGTACAGCACAGGTGGGGGCACTGGTGGGCCTCCCTTCTCCGGAGCCCTGGCATGGGCATGGCAGGGGAGCTTTGGGATAGAGCACATGTCCTTACCCCTCTCCTCTCTCTGCAGGATGCTATGCTAAAAACTTCGGGCCCAAGGGCTTTGGCTTTGGACAAGGAGCTGGAGCCTTGGTCCACTCTGAGTGAGGCCACCCACCACTGCCTGCTGCACCTGCTCGCTCCTGTGCTTTCCAGTGCCATTACCTTCCCAGCCGCCATGGAGACCACCAGGATTCTCTCACTCAGCCCGCCACACATCACTAATGACTTGAACTTAGGCATCTGGTTCCCTTTGGTTTGGGGTTTGCCTGAGCTCCTGTCCCACTAAGGAGCTCCCCTTGCCTGGCATCTGACACTATCACCAGTTGGAGATGCCTGTCTCTGTAGTCTTACGTGGGACCAGGCCCTCTCCCCACACCTCGCCCTGCAGACCCTTACCTCTTCCATGTCAACTGGTCAGGACTCCTGAGCCACCATATCGAAGCCCAGAGGGACAGACAGCAGTGACAGGCCAGGGCAGGTGGTGGGACACAGGGCCAAGACAGGATAAGGGGAAGCTGAGGTTTACTGGATCCCAGAGATGCTCCTCTGTGGGAAAGGGGGTGGGCTTCTTGGTGCCCCTCAGAAGAAGCCTGAGGAGTTCCGGCTCAGAAGTCACACAATCATGGGCTGCAGAAAGAAGCCACTTGCTGTCTAGGCCTCTTGCCTTTGAGTCACTGTGGAACTGGTGTCCTCCCATTTGAGACTGGAGAACAACCTAGGTGTGGGGACCCAAGAGTCAGGAGGTTGCGGGACCGCCTCAGCATCCAGTTCCCTGTTTGGTGGGTAGAGATCATGATGAAACACTTCTAACCGACATTTGCAATTATCAGTGGTCTAAAGTCTAAGCTAAGGTGTTCAGCCCTGGCCTTAACCTTGGCTCTGAAGCTGCAGGGACAGCTCCTCCCTATCCCTGTTTCAGCACAGCCCTGATCAGCACTGTGCTCTAGCCATGCCTGATTGATTATTCCTCAGATGTGGAGGGAGGCAGACTCATCCTTCACCTTCTAATACTCTTTGCCTCCCCCAGTTGTGGGGACCAGCCCCTTCCACCCACCCTTCTCTGAGGGCCTTCTCCAGCCACAAGGCCCTCCTTCCTTATTGGATCCCGGTCAGGAGCAGCGGGAGGAAGGAGGGCCTGGTCTCTATTCTCCCAGTGGCTGAAAGGACAACACTGTCTGTAGCTGTCAACTGCAAGGGCCACAGGCTCAGGCTGTACTCAAGCTGATTTCTCATCTGGTCAATAAAGCTGTTTAGAACTCAACTCTGGTGTCTTGAGCCTGTTTCTGGGGAGCACTGCCACACCCTGGGGACTAGCAGGAAACGAATGCAGCAATCACATGAGGAAAATGAATCAGAGAATTTGCTCCTGCTTTTCCCCCTATTTTCCCTTCCCTTTTCCTTTTTGTGGTTTAGGCTGGACTTGAACTCACTATATAACTCAAGGTGCCTCCACCTCATGATCCTCCTGCCGCAGCCTCCCAACTGCTGTTATTACAGGTGTTCACCACGAGGCCCAGCACGCTTTTTAAAAAGACAACTAGTTTTTTAGTAGCAGTACTAACTGAAGGGGCCCCACCAACAGAACAGCACTGCCTTGTCTTGTCTGGTTCTCCCCACACACTTGGGCCTGGGAATTGTTTGGACATCGGTATTCAAGGGTCTCAGCCAGGCCCTCAAACTGCTCAGATCTCCCAGCTTGGAAAGCCCCGGCGTGAGATGGAAACTCGATCTGAGGAACTTTCACATCAAATCCAGAAAGCTCACTTCTGCCTAAGAGGCGAAGGGTGGACGGCCTAGTGCAGCCTGTTGCACTGTGAACCCTCACCCCACCCCCACACCACCACCAAGTCCATGGAAAGCCAGGCTTCCCAGAAACAGCTGCATCGAAGGGGTGGCAGTGTCCTTTTTCCTATCAGCACCTAGCTGATGCTTTGCAGCAGGACTTCTCTGCTTCAGCCCTTGAGTGTCCACCCTGTGTATTTTTCAAAGGGCTTTGTGTGCACCCTGTCCAGCTGGCCAGTCCAACAGTAGCTTTGACACACCCCTGCCCTCCTCTAGGAATGAGATCTGCCAATGGCGCAGAACAGTAGCAAAGCGCAAGGCAACCGGTGAAAGAGCTGGACATCCCAGGAGAAGTGGGCTCAAGGTCTCCTTGAACTTGGGCATCTGCCTCACCTCCATCCTAGCAGCGGGCCTGGCCCACTGGGGGCTGCCGGGAGAGGTCTGTGCGCCCAAGAGGATCAATGGTTCCCAAAAGTTAAATGGATTCTCTAGTTCTGGGAAGGGCCCACAGAAGTGGCCACCGCGGGCGCCTCTGGGCTCAAAGCTGGAGTCGGGCTGCCCTCTGCTGGCCGCGCGGCCGGCCCTTCGGCAGCCGGCCCAGTCCGCCCTCCTAGCCCAGTCCACCCTCCTAGCCCCTGCTACTCTTTGGTTTGGTTTTTGGTTTTTTTGGTTTTTCTCCGGTACCAGGAACCGAACTCACGACCTTGCGCTTGCCAGGCAGGCGCTTTTGCCGCTGAGCTAAATCCCCAGCCCCGCCCCTGCTACTCTTGCTGTCCTGCTTGCAGGACCCCTGCTCTCCCAGTGCGGCCCCTCGGTGGAAAAAAAAGCCGGCTCGCAGCTCCCTGGAGTGAAGCCGAAGCCCTACGTCACAGGCGGCTGGGCCAGGAACCGCTCGCCCGGCGCGGAAGGGCTGGGCGTTAGGGAGCTGCGAGGAAAAGGAGGAGGGAAAAGGAAAAAGGCTTGGAATTTTTGGGCGCCGCGCTCGCGCTGAGCCCAGAGACACCAGGTGGCGCTGTGGGGCCGGCGCGCAAGGCAGATGCTCAGTCTGCGCGTTCCAGGCGCTCCTCCTCTCCCTGGGGGGTCTGCAGAACTCTGCCGCAGCGCACCGGCTCGCGCGTCCCGGAGACTCCTGCTCTCTGAGGCTCTGTGCTCTCGTAGCGCACTAGTACCCTGTGGAACTGACCCAAAGGAAGAGAGTGAGCAAGGATCTTGACGTCCATGTAGCTTTCCTTTCTAGTTTGTGTCTCGGAGCAGGGCCTGCGTCCACTGCGCCCTGAGGGGAACGCAAGGTGGGAGCTGCGCCCAGGTGCGGGAGTGGCTCTGGGCTTCTAGGGTGTGATGAGAAAGAGCTGCTCCTCTTGATCGGAGGCGAGCCCAGCCCTCTGACTCCTCCAAGAACCTTAGCAATTTCTCTGGGTCACCTGAGAGGCTGGGGAGGAACAGGGAGGGATTCCCAGTGGGAGCCTGACCGCAGAGTAAGGACAGAGATGAGGGAGAGATCTCAGGGTTAGAGCTGCTATTAGATGAGTAATCTCCTAACCACTGGCACAGAAACTCTTTGCAAGGGGTAGAAACCTAGACAGGCCGGAGTCCCCACAGCTAGGCCTGGAGAGGGTGGTAGTGGTGGAGGTGAGGGATGAGGAACCCTGGGGGATTCCTCTCCAGATGGTTTTGCCCCCCACTTCCCTGAGCCTTGGTCCCCTCCCCCAGCATTCCTCCTCCCCTCTTTCTCTTGGCTTCTCTCTCCACTCCCCACTTCTACCCGATGGCCCCTCTCCCACCCCATCTCCTGGCCCTGGTCCCAAACACACTCTCTTCTGAGAGTCCTTGAAGGAGGGAAGCTTTTAAAGTGGATTCCTACCCCCCCACCCCTAGAGATTCTGACCAGGCTGGCCTGGATAGGGCCTGGAAATCTGTATTTGAAAAGTTCCTCAGGTGATTCTGACGTTCAAACTTGGCCAAGCTTGAGAATCTGTGGACTCATGCAGTCTCTCACCCAGGGTGACCCCCCCTCCTGCAGCTCACCCACCTGAGGGGGCAACGGTGGTGATACCCAGCGCAGCCCCCACCTGGCTGCTGGGGCTGCCTGGGAACAGTCCTAATGATTTCAGAGGACTTCCTGGAACTTCCTATTTCTGTCCCCTCTAGTCATCCAGAACAGGTCTAATCCCTGTCCCGTGTGACAGGCTTCAAGGATTTGCAGACAGCTGCCTCCAGCCTGAGGCTGCTCCTCCTCAGCGTGAACATCTGCTGGCTTCTCAGTGGCTCCCCAGGAGGCCAGAGAGTCCTTTTCATCAGTTGGGGAAGAAAGAGGAGTCTGGGAAGCTGGGGGTGTAGCTCAGTGGTACAGCAAAGACTGTGGACTTGAGATTTGTAAGTAGGGGCAGAGCAGAAATAGCTCCATCTGGGGAAGATCTATACCCTGCCTGTGGGCCAACTCCTTACCCTTGCCATGTTGTTTTGGACATTTTGTCATCTTGTGGGATTGCTTGGTACCAGAAACTGTTCAAAGACCTTAACTATATGAATTCATTTGATCATCACAATAACTTGACAAGGCAGGGATATAACTTTACAAATGACCAAACTGAAGCCAAGAACCAAAGAACAACTCAGGAACTGACTTGAGATCAAACGGCAGAGCAGGTTCTGCAGTAGCAGCTGGGCCCACAATGGGTCCTGCCCTGCTGCCCTTGACACTGTCAAGAAACTGCCATATACTAGAGGGACACAGGAGTGGTTTTAGAACAGTGAGCTAGGCCCATAGCAGTAGCCAACACTTTTAAACATATGCGGATACTAGTCTAGAATCCGTCTTTTTGATTGCCCACATAAGCACTCTGAAGTGGTTATCATCCCCTTTATCATAGAAGAGGAAACAGCTTCAGTGACTGTGGAAGTGACTTACCCAAAGTCACTGGCAAGTGATGGAGCGGGGATGGGAACCAGCCGTGTGACTCTGAGCCAGCCTCCTCCCCTCTGGGTGTCAGCTCATTTGTGAAATGAAGGTGTTGGCCTCAATTAGTTCTGGGGAAGTGCCTCTCAAGCTGTAATGAGCACAAACATCTCGTGGGGATCTCATAAAATGCAGATTCTGGTTCAGTAGTTTTGGGTGGCGCCTGAGACTGGATGTCTCTCACAAGCTCCCAGGGGAAGGTGGTGCTGAAGCTGCGGATCTCGGGACTACACTGGAGCAGCCAGGCTCTGGGGGACCCACCCAACTCTGATGTTCTGAGTTTATGAGTCTAGGAAGAGTCGCCCCAAAGGCCATGAAAATCCAGGAAGCAGAGTATCGCGAACAAAGCTCTTAGTGGGCATTTTCTTTGCCCAGACAAGGTCTGGGTGCCTCTTCTAAAGCACCTGCCCCTAAGCCTTCTGTTTCCAACCTGTTGACCTCAGCCTGACTCTCCAGAGGGTTCAAAGTCTTGGTCCCGAGTCAAGGGGGTTGTTGCTTCCTCAGAGAGTGGGGTCCCCATGTCCCTGTCTCCTGGGGGCACCAACTTGTCCCTTGGCAGCAACACTAGTCCTGGAAAACTCTTTAGTCCCCATCTTCTGGACAAGCAGTAAGGTTAAATTTCTCCTCCTTCCTTGAAGTTAGATGTGGCCACATGGCTTGCTGTGATGTCTAAATTGAGATCAAAGCGACCCGTGTCACTTTGTACAGAACTCTTTAAAAGCTACCGTGTAAGTCCTTGTATTCCCTTCTCCACTTGCAGGAGGGCAGAAGTAGGTGTCAGGATAGAGCCTCCATCAGCCCAGATCAGTGTGTGTCACACTCAGCAGAGCCTCTCCTACCAGCCCAGGGCCTCCTGTGGGATGAGTGGGGTAGGGCTGAGTTCAGGGGAGTTCGTTCATGTAGCAGAGCCCAGCTCACCCTGACAGTGTTTGTACCAGTGTCGGCCATGACCTGAATATGTTACCTTGGATCAGCAGTGTCCAGTGCTGGAACACCATCTTTGTGACACTTCAGGACTGTGGATCCAAGTCTTACCTCTGAATCCCTCTTCCATAGGTAGGAACATCTTGTGGAGGGCAGGGAGATCACCTGACGGTGTGAACCCCACTTTCTCCTTTCCTGTGGGCCCCCATGAAGGGAACTTGTTTTTACCATTCACCTAGATCCTGGCCCCAACCCTGGCTCACAGGATGCTTAGTGTGCATGGTGAGATGTGCTCTGAAGTTCCTGTCCACGAGTCCTCCTGCAGATCACATCCAAAGGTGTACCATGAACCTTCCTCCTCTTCACACCTGTTCCTTTTTCTTTGACCCTGTTCTCAGGCTGGATGAGTCACAGCCTCACTCTCTGCCTGACCTTGAGAATGGCACTGCATAGCAACCTCCCTATTACCAAAGTAACACGTAAGAATTCATAAGTCTCACAAACTGGGATGGTGGTGTGTGCATGTAATCCCAGTACTCGGGAGGCTGAGGCAGGAGGATCTTGAGTTTAAGGCCAGCCAGGGTTACATAGTGAATTTA